TTATCATATTTATTTGCATGTTCTGTCTCCTTCACTGGTCCTAAGCTCCCTGCAAGCAAGAAGCATGCTTTTTACCTTTGTGATTTCCACAGACATGGTAAAGACAAATGTTTTGCTATATAATGGTTAAGATTAAAAAAAAAAAAAAAAGCATGGGGGTGAGAAGAATGGGGGGGAACTAAACTTTTCTTTAAAAAAAAAAACAAACTTTTTTTTAATGTTTATTTTCTTTCCGAGGTGGGGAGAGACAGACCGCGAATGTGGGAGGGGCAGAGAAAGAGGGAGACACAGAATCCAAAGCAGGCTCCAGGCTCCGAGCTGTCAGCACAGAGTCCGACGCGGGGCTTGAGCTCACAAACTGCGAGATCGTACCTGAGCCGAAGTCAGATGCTTAACCAACTGAGCCACCCAGGCACCCCCCCCCCCCTTTTTTTATCCCCACGATCTAGAGCCCAGTCACAAGGAAAAAGCATGAGTTAGATATTCAGGAAGAGTTTTTTCCATTCATTATCCATGATTTTTTTTTTTAACTTCAATTTCCTAGTCTGAGGAGATCTAAAAAGGATTCAAAGCATGTAGATTCCAAGCACTGTATTTGTGAGCTTTAGTTGTACTCATAAATATATAATGTAACTATTTGAAAATTATTTCTCCTAGCCAATGTGTTTTGTCAGAGGAGAGAATCTCTCTTCAGTGAGAGAAGAGATATCTTGGCAGCTTCTTGAAACAGATTCACTAGATTATAGGAAATGTAACTTGTGTCCATGTGTAAGTAAAATACTAGACATTTTAGTTGCCTCCAGTTTGAACAGAATTACTGCTTTGAGCCTCTTGTCATCTGTGAGTGCGTGGCAAGCTTAGGGCTAATGGGAGTTCAATTTTTTTTCATGTATAACACTTTGAGATACTAAAATCAGCGTCACTTCTAATTCTGAAATGTTTACATTAAAAGTTTCCTCTGTAAACTTAAAAATTTTTATTGATGTAAATACTGACATTGTTTATAGTTTCCTAAAGAAAACAATAAAAAAAAATCTAGGCAATTCTTCACAAAATAAAGTTACCTAGTACATGCATATCATAAAAAAAAGTATAAATAAGCTAATAAACATTAACATCACTTCTTCCACCACTCAGGGCTAAACCATATAAATATACCCATTTTTGTGTATATGTCCTACAAACGCATGTTATACCTCTCAATACATGTGTGTGGGCTGTTTTACAGAATAAAATCAAACTATTTGTACTTTTTCCTTGAACATTCTTTTTCTTGGACATAATTTTTATTTCATAATATTGCATTTTGATGTAAATGAACCTTTATTTAAAAAAATTTTTTTAACGTTTTTATTTTTTGAGAGACAGGGTGTGAGCGGGGGATTGCAGAGAGAGAGAGAGAGAGGGGGAGACACAGAATCTGAAGCAGGCTCCAGGCTCCAAGCTGTCAGCACAGAGCCTGTCACAGGGCTCGAACTCAGGAACCGGTGAGATCATGACCTGGGCCAAAATCAGACACATACCCGACTGGGCCACCTACGTGCCCCTGAACCTTGATTTATATCAAGTAATATTTTGATAACCCCCAGATTTCTATTTTGCTGGTAAATTGTTTGACTTGTAAGTTTGTAAAGTATTTTTCTTTAGAACAATACTATAAATGGTAGTTTATTTTCTAAGTTAACTCCCTAAATTTTAATTAACATCTGTCACATAGCTAAATGGACAAATGGCACTCCAGTGTTTAAACCGTAGAATCAGCTTATTACATTATTTCCTTGGAAATTTGTAATCCAGTCAGTACCTGGCATAATGTCAGACATAATGGGTACTCAGCAAAATTTGAGTGAATGGGAGCTGGGATTCCCTCTCTTCCAGAGTGTCCTGGCTAGAGCAGCCAGGGACAGATGGTGTTTACTTACTTGGACTGTGGGAAGAACATTGTTGATGGCAGGGAGGGCATACTGGATACAGGATTCCCTCATCATCTGTGTCTTTGGCAGTTGTCAGTAATTTGACCTTAGCTTTGGTAAAACAAAGTTCCTGGAAAAAGGAGTCTTTATCTCTGGCAAAGTTGAGGGAGACGGGAGAAGGCAAAAGGTAAATTGAATCTAATCAGCATTTGTAAAACAGTACTATCTAAGAGCAATGGAATACACATTTGTTTTTAAGTACACAGCATTTATCGTGTTATGGGCCATAAAAGAAGGAATTGAAGGGCAGTTTTTTAAAAATTAAGCCTTATACCTACCATATCATTCAGCTCTTCCACTCCTAGGTAATTAACCAAGAAGAAAGAAAACATATCCGTACGAAGACTTGTACGAATCCATGCATGTTTATCTCCAAAGCCATTTTATTTGTAAAAGCAAAAACTAGAAATAACCCAAATGTCCCATCAGTTGAATGGATAAATGAACTGTGGTGTATCCATACAACCAAATACTACTCAATAATGAAAAGGAATAGACTATTAATCAACAGTGGATGAATCTCAGAATAGTTATGCTGAAGTTAAAAAGCCAGCCAAAAAGAATACATACTTTATGGCTCCATTTGTAGAAACCATTGCACCATCCATAATCCTAGTGACAGAAGGCACAGATCAGTGATTGCCTGGGGATGTGGATGGTAGGACAGGGTAGCAGGAAACTTAGGTGATGGATATGTTAATTATCTTGATTGTTGTGCTGGTTTCATAGGTTATAATATGTGGAAACTTATCAAATTGTAGGGGTGCCTGGGTGGCTCAGTTGGTCAAGTATCTGACTCTTGATCTTGGCTCAGGTCATGATCTCACGGCTGGTGGGACTGAGCCCTGCTTTGGGCTTTGCACTGACAGCATGGAGCCTGCTTGGGATTCTCTCTGCCCCTCCCCTGGTCATGAATGTGCATGCACACTCTCTCAATTAAGTTTTTTTTTTTTTTTAATGTTTACCAAATTGTAAATAAAATGTACAGTTTATTATGTAGTTGGCCCTTGATCTCTGTGGGGATTAGGAGCACCGATCGTCTGCACAGTCAAAATCCACATGTAACCTCTGTCTCCCTTATTACTTAACTCTCCTAATAGTCTACTATTGACTAGGAGTTTTACCAGTAACATAAACACATAGTTTGTATGTTATGTATTTTGTATGCTGTATTCTTACAATAAAATAAGCTGAGAAAAGTTATTAAGAAAATCATAGGGAAGAGAAAATACATTTACGGTACTAAACTGTATTGGGGGAAAAATGTGCCTGTAAGTAGACCAGTTAGTTCAAACCTGTGTTCGTGGGTCAACTGTATATCCATTATAGCACAATAAAGTTATCTAAAATATGAATGAATAAAAATAAGGCCCTCATGATTCTGAGGCTGTTTACATCATCATAGTGTTGATTACACACCTGCATGCAAATGGCATGACATTTTACTGTCTGCTGGGTCAATAAAGGGTCTTGCCTGCTTTGTGCTTCTTCACAACCAGAATCAATAGAAAGTGTTAGGGTTCTAGAAAATCTCCCAGTTTTGCACTGAGGAAAAATCTAGATTTATAGATGGTTAACAATACGGCATTGAATTTTTCTTAAGGTAGCAACATGATTTCTAATGCCGAACTTCATCAAATTGTATCAGCCTGAGTAGAGAAGAATAGAATATGTGGGGGTGGAGTCAAATTTTCTAGAAATAGAGTAGAATGGTGGTTACCAGGGGATCAAGATGGGGGAGACAAGATGTTGGCCAGAGATTACAAATTTCCAGCTAAAAGTTGTAGAAGTTATGGGTATCTAATGCTCAGCACTGTGATTATAGCTAACAATACTGTATTCCTTATACTGGAAAGTCAGAGTAGATCTTAAATGTTTTCACCACAAAAAAAGAAATGGTTGCTTATGTGACGCAGTAGTTAACGCTGTGGTGGTGATTACCAGTATATAAGTATATTGAACCATTACGTTGTACGTCTTAAACTTCCACAATGTTACATGTTCATTATATCTCATTGTGTGTGGGAAGGTGTAGAAAACTTGACTGAAGGCACACAAAACACTAAAATAAGTAGAAAGAAAACATGGCGATGATAATTCAGTGATTTCTCCTTGCCTATTCAGTGAACACCAGATTCCTGAGGCATTGACTTTTGATGCCCCCTGTGGTTTGCTCTTCAGATACCTGTTCAGTTTTGGCTCACCCTTCTCCCAGAATATACTGTGCCATCACCCTCTTCATTGCCTTGGTTATTAGTATTTTCTCTGCCTCTGAGTCTTGCCCGTTTCCTCTTATACTTTGTATCTGTGTGATAATATTCTACCTAATCATTAAGTTCCCAGTCAAATGCTAACATGTTTTTTTCTGATCCTCCCAAATGAAAGTGTGTTGTCAGTGTTCTGTATTGTAGTAGAAATTAATCACATAATTTGTACCTTAGGCCTCATGGGGTATAGGTCAGTGAAGTCTTCCCTGCTGTTTTGGAACTGAGCAGATGGAGAGTTATGCATTTTGGCTACTATTTAGATGTGTTAAATAGTCAACAAACTTTTTACATTTATTAAAATTAATTGTTAATGCCGACGAGGGAGAGGCAAGGACAAACAGGAAAAACCAAAAATTGTTCCGATTTTTATTTTGGAACCATGTTTTGCAGTCATTTGATATAGAGCAGACAAGTGGTAGATTTGCTGTTCTCATGACTTCTGTTTTTCTTAAGCTCATATTTTAACTCTGTAGACCTTCTCTTCCCTTCATAGTGTTAGAACCAGGTAGTGGCTAATTGGGAAAGGAGAAATAAGTTTGTAAACTTAAATCAGCCGGAGGTAATTCACTCTGAGTAATTCCATAGAAATATTCAGGAGTTGCTTATTGGCATCTTAATGTTAGAATGTTAGTTGGGTTATGGAAAAAATACTAACTGGGTAGGACTCGTGAAGTATATGAAGGAATGTATTTTTGAGATTACAAGTGATAGCTGTTCTCTGGATTGCTCACTGTCTTGATCACTTCTGTTTATTTTCCAGGTCCGGACCCTATTTGTCAGTGGTCTCCCTCTGGATATCAAACCTCGGGAGCTCTATCTGCTTTTCAGACCATTTAAGGTACCTTTTCTCTTTGAGAAATTATAAAAAGCGACAAAAAGTATGTGTATAAGCTTCATGGGGGTTTCTGCAGGAAGAAATGATACGTTTGAGAAAGCATCTTGTAAAGTGACCTTCTTACAGGGTTGGTCAGTAAAGAAGATTTAATCACTCAGTTCCAGTGTATAGTTTTAGGAACGGCTGAAATTGCCTTTTGTCCTCCCCAACAGCTAATCTAGAAAAGTCTCTTTTACTAATGTGGACATGCATCTGACTCTTTGGCATGTAGAGCAGGCTTCGTGTCCTCCCTGTTTATCGTCTGCCAATTGGGAGTATTCTTGTGAGTGCAGACTACTGAAAATACCATCAATTACTGTTATTTATATTGCCAGTGCAGTGATATAAGTCAAGCCCTATTCCTACAAGGTTTATTAGTTGGAATACTGTTGTTAATATTGTTCTTTAGATACATAAGTTAAGTGTACTTTTAAACTAAGTATTTTTAGACAAAGAACATAACCACCATTACTTTTTCTGTGAGAAGAATGTCCTAAATCTCATACAAAGTAAAACAGAATTTTAAAGAATTACTTGGTGTGCTGGGACATCACGAAATGCTTAACACAGTTGCCTGTCCATTGGGACTATCACGATAAAATCACTTTAGAGATAGTTATTTAACGTTGATAGAATTGAGAACGTAACAGGTAATTGGACCACCACAGAGAAACCTTGAAGGCTAACCTGTGTGGAGGATAAGAGAAAGATGGGACCGGGTACGTTGTGGGCTGGAGGCCTAGGCCCTCAAGGAGAGCATGTAGAAGTTGTGATAAATGCAGGGCTTGTGTCTGAGCTGGTCAGTGAGGACATGTTAGCAGCAGTGCCTGTCCAGGAGCACATTTAGGATTAGGTGGTGGGCCATCTTGATTAATGACGAAACATCCATCCTGTTGAAGCATGACCCCAGCCACAGAGGCAAGACAGACTGAGGGACAGAATTCAGCTTCTCAGGGAGGAGAGAGTAGGATGTAACAGCTGAAAACATCTGGGTAGGAAAGGAAGAAAGGAGGTTGAAGGGGCAGCCAGCTAAAAACCAACAAAGGTAAGAATCTAGCTTACGTGCTAGGAAGGCACCATGTATTAATAGACCTGCCTCGATTCTGATAGCCATCCCCTTACTGTAACAATGATGACAGTACAGAGGGAAACAGAAGGGTTAATCATGCTTAGCTGAGAGGAAGTGGGGGAGAAAAGATGATGGTGTGAGGAGAGTGTCAGCTTCATAGGATTTCCTGAACATCTTTTGCAGGGTTGCCATTTCTACTGTCTGTCCCTTTTGTAGGATGAGGACTTTTTAATTGATTTGATCATCTAAAAGGGCAGAATACTGTTAGGTTTTTGTGTGTATAGAGAGATTTAGCCAGCAAGCTTCTTACATGAATTACCCCTATTGAAATCTCACCACACTCAATTCAGGTGGGTTGGCCTCAGTTTTTCAAATGAGGAAAGTGAAACTTGTATAACTGAATAAATTTTACTCCAGTTCACACATAACAAATGGCAGGGCTAAGATTCAAACGCAAGCAATTTGCCTCTGCCATCCATGTTCTGAACTAGTCTGTGATACTGCTTTTCTGTTTGTGACTTGGGAGCACAATATATCGCTACCCGTGGTGTTGTACTTGAGTGAAATATCCATTTGTCCTTTGCCTCTGAGGCCTCCAGAGTGTTTAAGCCTCCAAGTTTTTCAGAGACAGTGCACCTTGAAAAAGGAAGAGGCAGGACTATGAATCATGACCTCTCTGGCCAGAAGAGCTCAAGGCCTTTGAGGTAAAATGTTTACAGTAGCTAATTGGTAACATAGTTCTCTGTTGAGAAGATACGAGGAAGAATCAATCCCAACATCCTGCCCAGAAACCCCAACGCTAGAGTCAGGACCCTGGTACATTCCCAACAACCCTCTTTTAATTAAAGTCCCTGGAGGCTGACCCTAGTCTGCACATCTGTCTTGGCACTGATATGTGTGGTGGTCAATCATGTCAAGTGGTGTTTTTTTCCCCCTTGTGTCATCCATCAGTACAAGCCACCAGCCATTGATTATTTTCAGAAATAAACACACTTTGTTATCCTTATCCTGAGGAGCCAGGAGGGGCGAAGCAAGGGAGTGAAAAGGGAGGGTTTCTATCCTCCTTGAGGATGAGCTGCAGTAAAAAGCCAACAGGGAGTTTTTGCATGTTCCAGTCGGAATACCAGCATGAAAACTGGCTGCTTCAATAAGTAAGCAAAATAACTCAACAGAATTTAGCATCACTACCTGCTAAACTTTTCCTGGCAGTTTTGAAATTTTGCGTAAGTAGTTCTACCTAGTACGTTCGTAATGTTTTCATGTTATTTTATAGCAAACACATGACCAAGTCATCACATACTTCCTATCTTACTGAATTTACTCCCTTCACTCTCTTAGTTCTGTAAAATGAAAAAGACCTGTTGACAGGAACCCATCTTCCTACTATTATATAATTTCATTGAAAAAAAAAAAAAAGGATAGGAAACATAGATACGTGCATAAATTTCAGGATCTGATTTGTTTTAGGCCTTAAATGTGGAAGCATAGGTAGATGTGTGTGTGCCCGCGTGTGTAAAATTTGCTTTCTCAGAGAGGCGTTTGTAAGAAGAGTTAGATGGTCAGGAGTCAAAGGACTCATTTTTACTTGAGCAAGATGCTATTAAAATTGTTTTTTGGGGGGTGCCTGTGTGGGTCAGTCAGTTAAGCCTGCAACTCTTGATTTCTGCTCAGGTCATGATCTCATTCATGGTTTGGGAGTTTGGGCCCTGCTTTGGGCTCTGTGCCAACAGCATGGAGCCTACTTTGAAGGATTCTTTCTCCTTCTCTGACTGCCCCTCCCTTGCTCACTCAAAAAAACTTTTTTTTTTTTTTAAATTGTTTTTTTTTTTTCTTATCTTTTTTGGTCTAAATTTGGTTCTTCTTAATTTTCAGGGCTACGAGGGTTCTCTTATAAAGCTCACATCTAAGCAGGTAAGAATTTCAAACTTGCATATAAATGATCCAATTCTATAATAAATTTGAATTGACTTTCTTCAGGAATGTTACTGGGGCTGAGCATTCTCTTTTTTTAATTCTCATTAGGATTTGAGTTTTGTTGTTGACTTAAAATTAAGGGTGAGATTGGTTAGGAATTAGCACAGGAAAATGATTCATAATTCCATTGTCTCCAGCTAGGATGTCTGACGCTGTCCCTGAGGAAAGCAAACGTAATGCCTCCAGCATGGTTATATTGGGATTGGTCTGTATATTCAAAACAAATTATCCAAACCCACTTTTATTCCCAATTCTTCCTTTAAAAAAAAAAACAAAAAACACGTAACAGACAAAATTTCGCAGTGTATAAATATCTGTTGACGAGGACTCATGCTGTCTTTCTTGTGTTTCAAACTGCTAAAATCAGGCATAGTCCCCAAGTCTAGAGTGGAGCACAAAAGGTGCAGAATGGAGGGTGGCAATCCATGACCCTGATAGCTTCTAGAAGCTTCTTGAAGATTTTTAACTATATGCTTCCCCCGCCCCCAAAATGCTGAATACCTTAGCATGCTCACCTCTCAGAGTCACTTTTCATCTCTCAATAAGATATTCTCTGATTCATTATAAGTAAGCTGTGTTGCAAGCATCTTTCTGGACTAGAAGTCCAAAGGGATTATCACTCCTCTCTATTCAGTTGGAACAATTTGGTTTACCCAGCTAGTTAAACTTTTTTAAGGTATCCCTTGGGATTTGGCATGGAAATGCATTTTGTAAATTTGATCATGCAGTGAGAGTACAGGGCTTTTATCATTGTGTCATTGTATTCCTTGCACTTACAGTGTACCAAAAGGTGATTCGGTTCTCTTTCCATTTTAAAAGATGAAGAAACTGAGGTACAGTGAATTTGATTTAGGAAAGTAGAGCCTCTTGACCCAAGTTTTCCTCTATTCTCTTGTTCACTGCTGCTCACCTTCCAACCCCTTCTAGATTTTTTTTTTTTTTTTTTTTATGATTCTCTAAATCCCCAGCTGTGCCCTTGAAGAACCACTCTCACAATCCCTTTTGATTCATGTTAGAAATTTGGCTAAGCCACTGCGTCATGATTCTTTTGAACTGGCTTTCTTATTTCTTCTACCCATTGCCTGTGGTCATTTCTTTGTCTTAGCTCTTCAGTTTGACATCACCTTTGACCCAGAAAAATATATATCCCCTGATTTGTTTTTTCTTCATATTTTTTTCTTTCCTCAGCCCGTAGGTTTTGTCAGTTTTGACAGTCGCTCAGAAGCAGAAGCTGCAAAGAATGCTTTGAATGTAAGTAGTGATGATGTAATCATTGGTGTTTCCTTGTGAGGTGGGGGGAGGTAATACAACCTCTTTGGACAGGAAATCACATGGATGGAATATAACTGCTCAATGTGATAGGGAGGGATTCATCAATTAGCTATCTAAAGAGATTTTTCCTGGGGTGCCTGGGTGGCTTAGTCGGTTGAGCATTGGACTTCGGCTCAGGTCATGATCTCACAGTTCATGGGTTTGAGCCCCATGTCAGGCTCTGTGCTGACAGTTCGGAGCCTGGAGACTGCTTTGGATTCTGTGTCTCCTTCTCTGCCCCTCCCTTGCTCACGCTCTGTCTCTCTCTCCTCTCTCAAAAGTAAACATCAAAAAATTAAAAAAAAAAAAAAAAAAAAAGATTTTTCCTTGAATTGTGGTCACATGTGCAAACTATTCAACAATGCCCTGCTCTTCTCCAGCTTTTACTGTAATGTTCAAAATACCTGACAATGCCTTATTTTAATTCAGCCCAATCAGTCCCCATGGTCATGTGCAGTTTAGTTTGGCCATTGTTATATTCTCAAAGGCTAAGGCTAACCCAAGAGTAGATCAAAATCTTGGCTTTCCTCATCTCATGAGACTTACATTTTAGGTATGTGGCTTTTTTTTTTTCTTTTCATTTTAAGGTTATAGTCTTTATTATCCTGGTTTTCCCCAAAGACATTGTGCTATAATAAATGGCTGTCAGCTGTAACTGAGTAGAGATACCTGTGTTTGGTTTGTAGGCTTCTTGTCTACATATGTTTTGAGACTTGCCAGCTTTATTTTAGCAAATATTTTCCCCCTTTAGTATGCCAGGAAACAAAACGACTTAAGAGGAACCAAGCTGAGAGAAGGTGAAAGGAAGCAGCATTTGAGTTCCACATGCTGAGGGCTGATCCTGAGGTTAAGAGTTGTAGTGAGAATTCTGGATCCATCCTGCTTCAGGCAGTTGGCCTAACTGGCTGTGAATAAGATTGATGAAAGTGGCCAAAAGGATTTAGGGTACTTCTTAAAAGGCAAGTGGCCCCTAGACTGTTGCAGTCTGAGTGTGATGGTATAGACCTTTGTGTTGCTATGGAACCTGCAGGTGCCCCTCCCAGCTGCTCCTTTGAGCACTTGGGTGCTAAGACGGACCATACCGAGGAAGGCTGGAGGGGAGACCTGGTGTCCTGGAGACTCCGAGGGCCAAGGCAGAGGGCCTCCAGGGGGTCTGTTTAGTCATCATAATGGTGTCATTGTGACATGATCTTGAAAGGTTTTTAACCTTTGGAAAAAATGTACACACTCTCAGATGAAATGGTTTGCTTGTTGTTCTGGAACATCTTTGGAATCCAGGAGCTCTCAGGAGCTCAGGATTTTCCTGGATTTGGATAAAGTAACCTTCTGGTGAGAAAAACTGGTTCCACACCCTGTTTGTCTTCCACAGAACAAAATGTAAACCAATTATTTATTGCACACCAGTGGTACACACTAAAATGTAAAAATTGTTTTGATTTTACCATTACATGGATATAGCCAGAATTTTCTCAATATAAACAAATTTTAAGCATATCAAAACTGATTCTGTTTAGATGGTGGTGTTCTTTCATTCTTGCCACCATGTTCTTTGTTGTTGTTGTTGTTCCTATAAAGGAAGTTAACAGCAGTTGAAGCTTGTTTACAGAATGGGTTTTCCATGGCTTTACTGTCTGAAGAACACTAGGCTTTTATATAAAGTGGACTTCTCTCATCTGACAAAGTTATCTCACGGTAACTTGGGAAGCACTCCAAGTGAAACAGTTCAACTTCTATTCTATTCTATGGACCTAAGGGTAACTCTTAATATTTACCTGTGGATTATTGAACCTGAGCTTGCTTCTGCTCAGAGGCTGACTTATGAGTGCAGGGCATTTATTGAGCTCTTGGTTGATTTCTTTCTTGACATTTTAATTTTTATATATAAAGCATGAGAGGTCTTTGTACCTTAGAAACCATCCTGTTGTTACAGTTCTGGGAATGGAGACTTGGAAAGGATGGATGGCTCAGTCAGGAAGCATATTAAAACTACAACTAGAAGTAAGCCTTTTGCATCTTAATCCTGTCTCCTTTGTACAACATCTTGATGCTTGCTTCGTCCATGGAATGTTGCTGTGTTTTTCCTGGTGGCGGTGACAGACTATTTAATGCATATTGTCTGGGACAAATGGTCATGATAAAGTTTGGTGTTATGTGACAATGGAGCAGGATTTCTTTTCTCTACAGAGAAAATGGGCCCGTTCAGGACAATGTACTTAATCATGAAGCCCACACATTCTATGATCCCACATATTCTGTTTTCAGGGTCATCTTTTCTAATAGGTGAATTTAAAACATACGGTACTCCTAGCTTTTAGAAAATTTTCTCCTCTCATGTCATTTGTCCAGGCTTCTCTCACAAGCTTTTCCTCACATTCCTTTGGGGAAAAGTTCCACGTTGTAATGTTTTGTCTTATTCTACAATTGAAAAACTAAAGCCTCAGTCCAGTAAGTCTCTATATAGAATAGTTCACAGTGTTATGAACCACTTCTCCATGCTTCTCTTGTTGTCTTTCTCAGTCATGGTTACTGTCTGGTTATTAGTATTAATAATCAGTCTTTTCCCAAATGACTGATTTTTAAATGTGCTTTCTTCCATTTTTGGATTAAGTCATTTTGATAATTTTACGGAAAAACATGTTCACATTGAATTAAGTGGTAACATTGAACTTTTATCAGGAGGTTATTCAAATCTTCTAAAGTAAATACAGTGTATTTTGTTTTTACAGCAAAAACTCCCAACTTAAGCTAAAAATAACCCAAACCCAGACTTCCCTTCAGGTTATCTATGGTTCCATTAATCCACATGATTAGAAACCCCATCCATTCTTTAACCTGACAGCAAAATATCTGACCTATCCTTCACCCTTTATACACGTTTGTAATTTCCATACTGGCAGTTTACTGTTTTTCATGCTGATGGAAGGGGTTGCTGATAAACCAAAGTGTCTAGTAATCTTTAGGATTTGTTTATAATTTTGGAATGTAAATCAAATATGGTGAGTAATATTGAGAGTTACCCTGGTTTAGTAAAAATTTGTGCAAGTTTTAAAAAGAAACTTAGGAAATAGAGCAGGTATAAGGGTAAGGACCCTGAGCAGAGGTGAGAATAAGCCATCCTGGCTTCCTACCAACTGTGAAGACCCCAATATTGCCACTGTTGCCTCGCTGAAATCTTGTTTTAATAAATAAGAGTGATTTGTAGTTAACACTTCAGATCGACAGGCTTGTTGTGGTCCTTGCTTGTGTAAGTTTCCATAATAGGCATTGTCTTACTCTGGTGTTTGGGAATCACTCATCTAAAGTACAGTTGACCCTTGAACATCACAGGGATCAGGGGCTGACCACCCCTTCAGTAAAAAACAAAAACACATAAATAACTTTTGACTCCCTCAAAACTTAATATTCTACTGTTGATCAGAAGCTTTATTGATAATATAGTCAATTAACACATATTGTATGTTATATGTATTGTATATTGTATTATATGTATTGTATATTGTATTTTTACAATAAAGTAAACTAGAGAAAAGAAATGTTAGGAAAATACATTTACAGTACTGTATTTATTAAAAAAAAGATTTTTTTTTCCATGTAAGTAGGCCCACAGAGTTCAAACCCATGTTGTTCAAGGGTCAGCCGTACCTTGACAGGTTGTGTGTGAACCTCTGGAGTATATGTCCCATTTTGTTTGAAATACCTCTTCCCGTAATTTTATATAGTTGTTACTGGGCTAGGTTTTATTATAGACTCTATTGTAAATTATTATATCAGAATTAGAGAAGTCAGATGCAATCAAACTGTACATCACTACAATTTGCCTTCACAACTAAACATTGCCTAGATAAACACGATAATACATGATAATTGGCTTTCTCTCAATTATACTAGTTGATGTAAAATATCTCTAATTATCATTGTACCCCCCAAGTCTATTGGATTCTTCTTAAGTTTATTGAGATATAACTCACATAGCATACAACCCATTTAAAGTGTACAGTTCAGCGAGGCACCTGGGTGGCTCAGTGGGTCAAGCATCTGACTTAGACTCCGGCCATCATCTCGCAGTTCTGAGTTGAAGCCCTGCATTGGGCTCTCTGCTGTCAGCTCAGAGCCCGTTTCAGATCCTCTGTCTCCCTCTGTCTCTCTCTGTCTCTCTGCCCTTCCCCCGTTTGCGCTCTTCCTCAAAAGTAATTAACTATTAAAAACACGCTTAAAAATTGTGCAAGTCAATGAGTTTTGATGTCATTCTTAAAATTATACTTAAAATTTTGCCATCTTAGTGATTTTTTAAGTGCACAATTCAGTGGCGTATAATTACATTCACCGTGTTGTGCAGCTATCACCGATGTCTCTTTGCAAAACTTTTTCATCATCCCAAACTGTGTAACTGTTAATCAGCACTTCCCAATTTTTCCTTCTAGCCACTGGTTAACCTCTAGTTTATTTTCGGTCTCTAGCCTATTCTGGATATTTGTCCTTTTTGTGTTTGGCTTCTTTCACTTAGTGTAATGTTTTCAAAATTCATCCATGTTGTAGCCTATGTCAGAGCATCGTTCCTTTTTTGGCTGATATATTATTGTTATATGGGTCTACCATCTTTTATTTATCCATTCATCTGTCGATGTATGCTTAGGTTATTTCCACCCTTTTGCTCTTGTGAATAATGAACGCTTCAGTGAACATTGGCGTACAAGTATCTGTTTGAGTCTCTCTTTTCAGTTATATTAGCTATATACCTAGGAGTAAAATTGCTGACTCATATGGTAATTTTATCTTCCACTTTTTGAGGAACTTCCAAACCTTTCCATAGTAGCTGCACCATTTGAAATTCCCCCCAGTAACGTATATGGGATTCCAATTTCTCCATATCTTCCCCAATACTTGTTTTTTAAATTAGGATCATCCTAGTAGGTATGAAGTGGTGATTGGGTTATTGATAA